GCGAAGCATATATTGCATACAATGAAAGTAAATAACCTGCAATTCATTTTAGCATCAAAATTCAGTATTTTTTTTTGGGAAAAATAAAGTACATCAAAGAATTTTTAAAAAAGCAGTTCAATTTATAAATTTAAGTTATAATAAAAAATTTGAACAGTTTCACTAAATATTATTCTTTTTTTTTTGCAATGATTGCAATTATTAAATTTTGTTTATATTTGAGCACAAACAGCTGATTCGATATTCATTTTATGAAAATATTCTCTTTAACAAAATTGGCAGTGTTGAACAACGAAGTCTGATAAAAAAGTTCATTGTATTGGCAATAAATATGTTAATGGCTTACGTCGATTGTACCATAAAAGTGCAAGTAGCCATTTTATCATATCATAAGTAACCCATAAAATAAGGGATCGAAAATAATAGTTATTTCAAAAATTTTGAAGAAAAAAACAGCAGCAAAAAGTTTTCGAAACTGTTAAGTATATATTTACCTTTATAACAACTTTCATCCTAAATATTATGCATGCTTTTTATATATGAGCATGCTTTTTATATATAAAATTTAAAAAATAACTAAATTTACATTATATTCATAAAAATAATTATTATTATGTGCTTTTTATTTTAAAACGCACAAATAACTGTTATTTTTGCTTTAAATATATAAAAATCAAGAATAACTCTTATTTTTGAAAATAAAATATAACTCATACTGGCGTGCCTGACATTTTTAAATATGAAAATAAAAAATATATTTTTCATATAAGGTAGTTTTTTTTTATAATTTCATACAAAATATTTAATTTAAATTTTTTAATTCAAAAGGTTAAAGGCAAAAGGTAGTACGTATTAGTAACTATTTAATAAAGTTTATTGTTTTCATAAATTAAATCATAATAAATATTAATATTAAAATAATGCTATTTGTTGTTTTTATTAATTAACATATTAACTTTATCCGAAGCATTCCGAATTGTTTTCTGTATATACCTATTGCTTTGATCACGTTGTGAACAACTTCACAAACATTATAATTTAAATTGTTTGGATTTTCTGCGTTTTCAAGGATCAATTAATAAATTTTTGCTAACAATACACAATTAAATATCATCTGCTTACAATTGAAATGCAAATAAAGAAAAGCGCTCTTAAAACTTTTACAGAACTTCCTGACACATAAAAGTTCTTTCACATTCAATAAGTAACTTATGCTGATGGAAACGACAGAATATTAAAGTTACTTAAGTAACTTAATAAGTAAACAGTGGAAACATGGTATTATACAAATTTCATTAGTAAAGGTAGTGGAAACATATATTTATTCATAAATTTCTGATTTATATTGAAAATAATAATAATTTTAAATTTGACGTAATTATAACTAACTCACTGCATAACTTGTCAAACAAATTTTTTAAACAAACAGTTATAATATTCAATTTAAATTTATTTCAGTTTATTTTGCATCTAAGATATTCGGCATTAACATTACATATGTTATAATACAATCAAACGATACAGATTTTAACGAAAAAAAAATGAGTCAACGAAAATAAGACATTTAAGTCAAGAACTGCAAGAAATTCGTTTTCCAACACTAAAGAGCGAAAGCACTTCTAGACCGCATGCTTCAAAAAAAAAATTATATAAATGGTAAATATTTTTAGGAAAGCTGAGGTGTTCATTCTATGGCTTGAACGGACAGTTTTATTCTAGCGGTGGTGTGCAAATTTGTTAGCCGATGTCGTGCGATTATTTAAGAAATTTTCTGAAATTAGAATATCCTGAAAAGACTTTATTTGAAAAATGTGCTCACAACAGTTAAAAAAACTTTGATATTAAAAAGCTCTTAAAGGCTGTTTAATTGTTTATTTTTTTTTTCTAAATTATTTGCTCGGTGTTGTGGTGGTGTTCTTAATTCGTTCTCATCGTATGTGTAAAAATATGAATAAATTTATTTGTTTTTGTGTATGAAGAAGTGTTGTTATATTAATCAAATTAAAAAAAATTAAAATATATATTGTGTTCTTCGATAATTGTATTGTGTGGAGAAAAGTGTTTGAGGCGACGCGCTGTTGATTTGATTTAAGTTATACAAAATTTTGGGATACACAAGAATGAAGCAAATTTAGCTCCTCCTAACCTTAAAATATTCATTCAACCGTCGAAACGAAAAGCACGTTGAGGCGAATCTATCAATTAAAAAACAAACCCCTGCCACGCTCTCTTCTAACGCTTTATTAGCGCTTGAAGTGCTCTTGGTTTAGTTGTTGGTTTGTGGCTGTTTGGCTGTTGGCTGTTCGGTGTTTGTGCTTAAAGGATAAATCAGCTGTTAAAGCGAATACCCGTAGTAGAATTTTTCGTACGTGGGCATTTGTTTAGTTTTAAAGAGTGCAGAGATGGAGCAGCACGGGTCTGCGAATGGCGGTGATAAAATTTCAAATAGTGTAAAACAACAACAGGAAGCAATTGAAGTTAACAATAAACAAGAACAAATGGAGAAATCAAATTCACCGAAACTGAATCCAAGGCCCGGCCTAAAGTTAAACAAAATGAACAATTCGGAAAAGAAACGTGTTTATAAAATTGTTCTGACTGGCGGTAAGTGAATTTAAAGCAAATATTAATTATTTTATTTATAATAATATTAATATTTTAATAATATTAATTTTTTTTTATATTCGTATTATTTTTTTTATATTAGTAACAATTTTTTTTATATTAGCATTATGTTTTTTTATATTAGTATTATTTTTTTTATATTAGTGTTATTTTTTTATATTAATAATAATAATTATATTATAATATTAATTATATTTAATATTAATTTTTTTTTAACAATAATTTTTTTAATAATATAGTTTTTTTTATTTAATTTAATTTTTTAATAATTATAAAAAACATTTAATTTGTTGTGAGGTTTATTGAAAAAATTAAAATGTATCTATTCTGTTATATATATTTTTTGTATTTATGTATTATTGGCTTGTGTTGGGGGTAGTTTCGTTATCAACGCGCACATAAACATATCAATGTCAAGGTCGAGTTTAAAGGCATCGCCGTATCGCCGTATGGTCGTATGGCAGCAGTGAGAGTACAAGAAGCTGTTGCATTTGTGTTCATTGCATAAGCGCAGCGTAGACGCAAACAAAGACTTGCGGACTTGAGTGTTTCCACACAAGAACGAAGTCTGATAAGTGGAGGTGAATTTTGGGTTTTGTAATTTTGAACTTTCGATACAAAGTAAATTTTTATGGTCGCACATGAGACTGACTGACTACATTTTACAAAAGGTTTTCATAAATTAAATTTACATATTTTTACACACTTTACACACATTGTGGGAAATGAGTATAATAGAGTTTTTTAAGGTGTTTTTCTTTAAAGTATATAAATATTTATTTTGGGTGCGATAGATCTTAAAGATTATGGTGTACCGTTGTCCCATTGTATCATTGATACAGATTTATAAATTCCTTATCAGTGTGATTTTGAATTGATTTAGTTTTCTATGTATTCTATGAATTCGACTTAGTGCAGTTTGTTTTAGTGCAGTATGTTCTAGTGTTGTTCTTTTAGTGTTGTTCGCCTTGATAAAGTAAAAAGAACAATGAATAAATTATATAAATATATTATTTACTACAATTGATTTCTTTGTCCCCTGTAAAGATACAGATATATAAATTCTTAACTTAGGATTGATTTAGTTACAGCCATCTTTCTATGTATTCGATTTAGTGGAGTTGTTTTAGTGTGGTTCGCTTTAGTGCAGTACGCTCTAGTGTTGTTCTTTTAGTGCAGTACGCTCTAGTGTTGTTCTTTTAGTGTTGTTCGCCTTTATAAAGTAAATAGAACAATGAATAAATTATATAAATATTTTATTTACCACAATTGATTTCTTTGTCCCCTTTAAATAATACATACATATAAATTCCTTATCAATGTGACTTAGGAAATGATTTAGTTATAGCCGTATTTTTATGTATTCGATTTAGTGGAGTTTATTTTAGTGCTGTTCGCTTTAATGCATCTCGCTTTAGTGCATCTCGCTTTAGTGCAGTACGCTGAGGACTAAAGATAAACGTCTTTCTATGTAATCGATTTAGTGGAGTTTATTTTAGTGTGGTTTGCTTTAGTGCAGTATGCTTTAGTGTTATTCTTTTAGTGTTATTCTTCTTAATAAAGTAAATAGAATAGTGAATAAATTATATATATATATATTTTATTTACAGCAATTGATTTCTTTGTCCTTTCTAATGATACAGATAATTGAATTCTTTATCAGCGTGACATAAATTTAGTCATACATCTTTCTGTTTTAGTTTTAGTGCTATTCGTTTAGTGTTGTTCGCCTAGAAGAAGAAGTAAACAGAACAGCAAATAGTATACAATAAGTTGTGGTGTACCATTGTCTCTATAAATAGAACAGCTAATGGTCTACAAAGTATATAGATATTTTACAATACATCTCTTAGGTCGCGATGTACATATATCCACTCTAATGATATAGATAATTAAATTCTTAATTAAAATGACTCAAAATTGATTCATTCGTATTCGTCATTCTCTCTGTTAGCTTTAGTGCTATGCACTTTCAAATAATTCGAGTAACGCCTAAGCATATAACTTTTAATCTCCATAATAGTTCTCATAGGTTATGGTGTATTATTGTTTAATGAGAATTATAGCAAATATTTGATAAAACATAGAAATTTTGAATAGAACGCAGTAGATCTCAAAGGTCATGTTGTACCATTGTCCCTTCCAATGACACAGATATTTAAAAGGGAAAAGTAAAAGGCGCATAATAATAATTGTTTTTGAAAACTATAATAAAAAGCAAATTTAATTATTATTCTTTGAGTTTTATTTTAAAACGCTTATATACATATAAAAA